CAGAGCCAGAAGTGAGTCCAGAGCCTTGGATGGTGGCAGCGGGAACCCCAGGCTAGCGGGTGTGCTCCGGGGAAGGGGTCGGCCGGACGGGAGGCACCCCAGGGAGGCACTCGGAGCCTGGGAGGTGGTCGGGCGCAGGGAGGTGGGCGGCTCAATGCAGGAGCGCCCCCTACTGGCCCGCCACAGGCCTCACTGGTGCCGGCTCCTGGGATGGATCCGGTCGCCACCGGCTTAGATCCTGCCCCCCTCCCTGCTGCCCTGGGCTGCCCTGGATAAGCCGCTGATGTCTCTGGGGGGTGCTGAGCACTGGTGCTAGTCCCCAGGTATCCCTGCAGTGGCATAGTCAGACCACAAAGCATGGGAGCAAATGCCTTTATTAGCTCTGAGCTGCTGCATCTTGGTGCTGGGTCCCAATCTGGGCTGGGCACAAGCAGAGGGGACAGTGGCCTGTGAGGGGCAGCATGGTGGCAGCCGGGGACCCTGTGGCCAGCGGGGCCAGCACAGCCAGGCTGGGCCGGGGCTGAGATCTTCCCAGACCCAAGGCCAGAACCCAGGAGTCCCAGCTCCAAGTCCTTGCTACCCACCCCCTGCACTCGCCTCGAAGAGACCTCAGGAGTCCTCACACCTGCCCTGATAGCCCTCACTGCCCTTCTGGAGCAGAGCAGAGAACCCAGGTGTCTGGGCTCTACCCACTCCCCCATGCGGCCAACCTGCTGCCATGCAGATGCAGGCAGTTTGGCCCTGGCACCAGCCCCGGGGGGTGCAGGACGGGGCGGGGAGTGGGGGGGAGGTCAGTGGGTGGGCGCCTTGCTGAGCAGCGCCTCGCGGTGCACCTCGCGGTAGGCGTTGCGCAGCAGCACGTAGGGGAAGCAGGTCTCCAGCATGTCTGCGGTCAGGAAGGATGACTCCTCCACAATCTGCCAGGGCAGGGGCATGGGGTCAGGGCTGAAGTCAGGCGGCGGGGGCTGGAGCTGAGCCCCAGCCTAGCCCCGCCATGGCCTGGCCTCCACTTGGACAGACCACGGGCACTGTGGCCCAGGCACGGAGCAGGGTCGGGGGGCAGCCTCCAGGGCTAGATCCAGGTAGGGGACTCAGGGTACCCAGCTGTCAGGTCATCCTCCAGCCCCTGGGGAGCCCGGAGGTGGCACGGGGCACTCACCCGGAGAAGGAGCAGGGAGATGGCCTCGCGGTTCTTGGTGTACAGCCGGTCAGGTTCCTGCCCCAGCTGCAGGAGACTCATGGACGCCAGCTGCAAGGCACAGGGTCTCAGTGCCCGGCGGGGAGGACAGGCACCCTCCCAGGGCTGTGCCCTCTGCCTGCTCTACCCAGAGCACCCCTGGGCCAGGGCAGGCGATGCCCCATCCCCCCAGCCCCTGGCAGGGCCAGGTGGACTCTGCTCCCCCAGGCTCCAGCACGGAGGTCCCCTGCATCTGCGTCCTGTGTGGTCCGGAGCCCTTGGGGGTTCCCAGGCCCTGGCCCTGCACCCAGACCCTGGCAGATTGCCAGGTGCCAGGAAGCCAAGCATGGCCAGTGGCCCGTTCTGGTGCCCCCCCCAACCCATGCTGCCCTGTGCTTGAGACCCCCACGCTCACCAGCAGAAACTCCTTGAGGTGGACCTCAATGTTCTTGCTGTAGATGGTGAAGAGGGCGGCCGAGACCTGGATGATGGCTTTGGCCAGGCAGTGGCTGTTGTTGCTGAACGCTGTGGGAGGCAGGGGCAGTCAGCGGTGGGGGCAGGACCCCATGCCCCAACCCCCCCACCAAAAAAAAGCACCGAGGCTGCATCTGACCCCGCTAGCCCGCCCCTCTGCTCTCGTGGGCTGGCAGGTGCCCGGGGGCTGTGCCAATGCTCCTACTGGGCCCAACCCTGCAGGGTCCTGGCTAGAGGGTCTCGTGACTCCACTCAGGCTCAGACCCACTGCATTGGGGGCAGGAAGGGATTTTACCCCCTGGTCAGACTGGTATGGACTGAGGGCGGGGGAGGGGGTTGCCTTCCTCTCTACTGGGGCACAGCCTCTGCCTGGGATCTCTGGAGCATCAATTAATCCACTTTGGAGCCAGACGCTGGTGGCCGCAGCCCCCTGCTCTCCCTGGGACAGAGGTGATGCCCGGGGTTGTAGTTGCACAAAGAGTTTGGAGGACAGATGTGTTCGGAGGGGCTCAGATTGGGAGAGACCGCCCCCGTGTCTGTGGTCCTCACCGTCCATCTCGATGTTATAGGTAACGGGCTGGGAGGCCAGGAGAGGCAGGGCCACGGCTATGAAGACCAGGAGCAGGCACGCGGCCTTGTAGTCCTCCTCCTGGGATGATCCATCTGTGGGGCAGAGAGGGGATGTTGGCCCGGTCCCCAACCTTGAACAGAGGCCACTGGCATGACCCCTGGCACCTGTCCCTATCTGCCCCCATCTGGCAGCAGGGCCAGGGCCAGCATGGGGACCCCAGTTTCCTTGGTGAAGCCTCCTCCCCAGAGCCTTGTTGGGGGCTGGCTCCCCACACCCTAGACCCAGTGCCACCACCCCCAGCCCCGTCTATGACCCACCGTGCCCCCCTCCCTTTCCCCCCAGCACAGGCACCCAGCATGTGCAGCGGGCATCCATGGGCAAAGGCCATAAGTGTGTGCCTGGCTTGTGGGGGTCTTGGTAGTGTATGTGTGTGTGGCTGCAGATACGCACATGTACAATGCGTGTGCACGCCGTGGGCCTGCCTCCTCTGTGCATGTGTGTGGGTGGTTGGTTGTGTGCAGCGTGTGTGCACATGTTGGTATGTGGGTGCAGTGTGCCTGTGTAGTGTGTGTGTAGTGTGGGTGTGCAGTGTACTGCATGTGCACTATGCATGTTTAGTGTGTGTGCACAGTGTGGGCTCATGGTGTCTGTGTAACGTTTATGTGTGTGCAGTGTGTATCCATGCACAGTGCACATGTGCAGTATGGCTGAGTGTGTGTGCAGCGTGTGTGTGTGTCCGTGCGCATGTGTGCACAATGCATGTGCAGTGTGTATTTGTGCGCAGTGTCCATGTGGGCAGTGTGCCTATGCCGTGTGCTTGACTGTATAGTGCATGTGTGTGGGCAGCGTATGCACGCGTGCGGGGCATGTGTGTGCACCCACAGGGGTTTGTGTGCAATGTGTGCATGTATGTGGTGTACGTGTGCGTGCAGGGTGCACCCCCCTACGTGCCCCGGCTCCTACCGGACTTCAGGCTGGACAAGGCAGCCACCAGGGCCGGGTCGATGTCGCAGGGGAGGCCAGCGGCCGTGGCCAACTCAAAGATGCTCAGGGTGACCTGGGGGCAGCACCCAGGCAGCTTCAGATGGGGTGGGAGGGGGACACTACCCATGGCTGGCACCCCCCGGCTCCCACACCCGCTGTCCTCAGCCACAGGGTCTGCCCCGGGGAGCAATAACCCCAGCCCCACTGCCCCCCGCCCCAAGGTCCCAGGATGGCCTGGGTCTCGGCTGCACCATCCACCTTGATGTCGGTGTCAGGGGTCACAACGTCCTTGAGGCACTCGATGGGGCCCATCAGGAAGGGGCAGTGGCTGGAGAAGACCTGTGGGGCCGGGGGGACACCTGTGAGCCAGATCTAGCCCCCCAGCAACATGCAGCTGGTGCTGGGAAGGAATGGGCCAAGATGCGGCCCTGGCTGCGGGTCCCGGAGGGGCGCCCGGGCACAGTGGGTATGTCTGGGAGAGTCCACAGCAACCCCCGCCCCAGCCAGCCCTGCCCTGGGGGCACCCCCCATGCAGGGGTGGCTCCGGGGCAGCCCCACCTCCCGTAGGCCCTGCTGGGCCATGGCGCGGAAGCTCAGGATCTCCCCGATGATCGTCATCCTCTTCAGCACATTGTCGGCAGCTTGGGGAGGATGGGGGGCAGCTGGTTACCAGGGGGTGACGCACCCCAGCCCTACTGGTGCCCCTCACTCCCAGCCTCCTGGCCTTCCCAGTCCCCTCAGTCCCAACCTGCAGCCCCCTGCCCCCCATTACTCCCTACCCGAGCCCCTTGCTCTTCCCCTCCGCACTCCACTCTTCTAGCAGTTCAGGCCCATCCACAACCCCCAAATGCAGGTCTGCCCCCTCCCCACCAAGCCTGGCAGCTTGGGGTCAGTGTGAGGTGCTCACAGGTCAGCCGGGGCGTCAGCGCCGCCATATGCTCGGGGTTGTAGAAGTTGGAGCGGATTTGCACTAGCACGTCCATGTTCTCGTTCACCAGCTTCTGCACGGCCAGGAAGGTGGGGTGTCAGTGGGGCCCCCCAGAGCCCTTCCCTCCCACTGGGACCCCAAACCTCCCCAGCAGCCAGGAGGACACCCAGCATTGACGAAGGACCGACCTTGCTCCTGTCCTGGCACCCAGGACTGAACCCAGGTGTCCTGGCTCCACGCACGCCATGACCCAGTGGACCCCACTCTCCCTTCCAGAGAGCCCAGGTGTCCGGGCTCCAGCCCTGCCCCTCGCCCTACCTTCAGCTCCCCGACCTGCGAGGTGACGTGCCACATGAGGTTGTCACTCAGGAACTTCATGCCGTAGGGGCCCAGCAGCTCGGCCAGCGCCCGCATCTCTGGGGGGGACGGGCGGTCAGCCCTGCATCTCCCCCCCACTCCAGTGCCCCCCCAGCCAGGTCCGGAGCCCCTGCCCTGGCTCACCTGTAATGTCGGAGAACTCCTGGGCGCTGAAAGACCCCTCGCCCTCCCGGGGCAGGCTCATGAAGGCCTCCATGGCCGGCGACAGGACAATGGTGCCCATGCTGGCCTGGCGCAGCAGCGCCTCCAGGTACCTGCCGGCAGCACCCATCACTGGCCCTGCAACCCGCTTGGTTGGGAAGAACTGGGGGTGGGCAGGGGCTGTGGGTCGGGAGTGAGGGGCATTGGCAGGGGTGGGGGGGTCAGGGGGCTGCAGGTTGGGAGTGAGAGGCACTGCAGGGCTGGGGACGGGGTGGTGGTGGGGAGACAGGAGCTGCCCAGAGCAGCTGTGGGGCGCTGGGTCCTGCCAGCCCTTGTTCAGGCAGGGGGCTGGGAGCTGGGAGCCTGGCTGCGGGGGGGCGTGGCTGTGGCCCTTGGCTCTGTATGTCTGTCCGTCCCCCACGTGGAAGGGGGGATCCTGGTCAGACGGCACCAGAGGACACATCAGGCCATGGCACCCCATCTTGGTCCCCAGTGGCTCCCAATGGTGACACACCGTAGGGACCTGGCCCCATGTCCGTGCTGCCCCTACCAGTTGGTGTAGACGGTGGTGAGAGTCTGCTCCCCGCGCGCGTCCAGGGGCTGCGTCTGCTGCAGCAGCACAGAGCGCACAAGGCGCCCGGCATCCAGCCCCAGGCGTGGGCCCAGCGCCACCAGGAAGCCCTCGTAGGTCCGCAGCCCCGCCAGCACCTCTGAGGGCCGTGCCACCTCCTGCGTGGCCGAGCTGTGTCTCGCCAGCCCCAGGATGGCCCGGCTGAGCCGAGCCTCCAGCTGGCTGCTCAGGAACTCGGGCGGCGCCAGCACGTGCTCGAAGACTGTGATGCTGCCCACGTGCGCCAGGCTCAGCGCCAACTCTGTCAGCACCACATGCAGCTTGTCCAGGCTGCCAGGACAGGGATGGGGGTGTCATCACAGGGCACAGCCCTGGGGTCCCCCATGGGGCAGCTGGGCACCTGGGTTACCTGCCCACCTCCCTCCCCAGCCCTGTGCTCACTTGGTGACCAGGCTGCGGTCCTTGCGCTGGCTCTCAGCCCCCGGCTTATCCCGCTCGGGCTCCCCCTTCCGCGCTGGCTGCTTATGGGCCTTCTTGTTGCGGGCCTTGCTGATGGTGGCGGCGCAGTGCTTGGGCAGCAGCTGGGGACACCGAGGTGGGTCAGCCACTGGGCCACGGCTCCCGGCACCCACCCCTGCTGGGACCTCCCCGCCCCCCAGGCAGTCCCACCTGCTCGCTGAGCTTGCACTGCTCGGCGCACGTGTCCATGATGCAGACGCTGGCCTGACGAGCAAGCTGCTCCAGGAAGCCACGGCAGAGCCCCATGGCACCAACCTGCAGGTGTGGGTACTAGGGGGCATGGGTGGGGGTGAGATCAGGGCCCTGCAGTTCCCCCCAGTACTGGGCACTGCCACACATGGTCTTGTCCCCCCTGAAGTGACATGCATGTCCCATGCCATGCCATGCCATGCCATTCCCTCTCCCACCCCCACATTGGCACGTGGACCATTCCCCTCCTCAGCATAGGCACATGTGTCCCGTCCCCGCCACCACTGCCATGCATGTCCCCCCCACCAGTGGCACAGACCTCTTCCGGGCACATGGGGTGGGTGGCGCGGTCAAAGCGGGCGCAGGTCAGGGGGAAGGCGATGGTGTAGCGCAGCACAGCTGGCTCCTCCAGTGCCTGCCCAAAGAGCCGCTCTAGGGACCGCACGTAGAAGCTGGGGAAGGAGGGGACATGGGAGGGGGGTGAGGTCATGGGAGGGCACACACGGGCAAGGCACAGGCACGTGCAATGCCCCAGACATGTGCAAGGCTGTGTCCGACACACATGCACAAAGGGGCATCCATCCCAGTTCTATGGGAGCAGAGGAAACTGAGGCACGTGTGGAGCAAGCCCAGCACCAAGCCTGCGGCTCCCAGGCGCATTGCATCCCCCACACTTAATTTCCCAGCCCCCCTCCCTCCGGCTCTAGCCCCTTCCAGCTCCCAGCCCCCTCCCCAGCCCAAGGTACCAGAGGGCAGAGAGGTCGGAGGTCTCGGCCAGCAGCTCGCCTAGCCCGTCCAGCAGGTGCGTGTGGAAGATAATGAGGTTCATGACGCGGCCAAGGTCCGGGGCCTCGCGCAGCTGCAGGGGGGCCTTGGCCACGCTCGTGTAGGCCTGGGGGGGGCGGGCACAGGGTCAGCACAGCCAGGACCCCCGGCATCCAGGGGCTGGGGTTGGGATGGGCAGGCAGCTACCTGCAGACGAAACCAGTCCAGCCGAAGCCCTGAGAAGTCGAATGGCTCCTTGTTGTCCACTGCGGGCGAAACACATTCGCGGACATGTGACGGGCTGGAGTGGAGGGGTCCTACAGCCGGACCCTGGGGCAGGGGGAGACGTACTCAGAGCGGACCCACCCGTTCTGGGCCATGGGGGCCAGGTCTCGTGAGAGCGGTGGTGGGGCGAGGGGGGTTCACCTTGTTTGAAGGAGAGGGACGAGAGCGCCCGGACAAAGGCCGACATGATGATGGACTCCTCCTCGGGGCACACGGACAAGTTCTGGGGGACGATGACCGGCACTCAGCACTCCCAAGCCCAGCGCCTCCCCGAAGCCCAGGCCCCCTTGTCCTGCCTCCCCCTGCACCTGGATGACGTCGCTGAGGACGAGGGCGTCAAAGCGGGCCAGGTACTGCACGTGGTAGCGCTGGATCACGGTCGCGTGCCTCTGGGCCAGGCCACGGAGCTGCTCCATCAGGAACAGCAGCTCGGCCAGGTAGCTGCGCCAGACACGGGCGTCACGGCCACAGCGCAGACCCCACAACCAGCTCATGTCCCTCCCCCGCAATTCCCAGTCCCCCTGGCCAGCACTCCCCAACCCTGTGAGCCAGATCGGGCCCAGGATCATTCCCCAGCCTCTGGGGCCGCAGGGCTCGACCCCATCCCTGACCTCCCCAAAGGGAGCCAGGCCAGGACCTGCTGCCTGGGGGTATCCGCCCTACTTGTCCGAGTAGTCCTCAGGGGTCTTGGTCTTGGTGACATGCTCGGCGTGACGCACCAGCCAGCTCACCTCATCACGGCAGAAGGACAGCGCCATGAAGACGTACAGTGCCTGGTGCAGGGCCAGGGCAGATGCTGGTCAGACCCAGTGTACAGCATCGAGCGCTGGCTCTGCCTGGGTGGGGGGTGTCTAGGAGACCCGGCTGTAGCCTAGGCACCCACCGCACTGACATGCTGGAGGTCCCCACTCACCTTGGGGCCCAGCAGCCCAGGCTGGTCAGCCAGCAGTGCCTCCAGCTCCCGCACGGCCCCGCGCAGGAAGGCTCGGCGGTTCCTGTGCAGCTGCCCACTGTGCAGGGAGTGGGGGGTCACGGCTGGCGAAGCCCCCATGTCACCCCCCCCTATGCCTGTCCCAGCCTGGACCTGCCGCTGGCTCTATCCTGGCCAGGGTGGGGGGGCATGCAGGAGCCACCAGCCCTCTGGGTCCACCCTGCCCTCCTGGGGTCCGCACCAGGACAGCCACAGCCCCATGGGCCCTGAACCTAGAGGAGCTAGCAAGGGCCCAGGTGGGACAGCAGGGGGGCTGCAGGTCAGCAGTGAGGGGCACCAGCAGGGCTGTGGGGGGCAGGGGACTGTGGGTCAGGAGTGAGGGGCACCAGCAGGTCTGGAAAGCACCGAGGCTGGGGGGTCCCGATCCTGTGAGGCCGGGGGCTCATACCTGTGGATCGCCGCATGCTCCTTGCACTCCTTGATATCAGCCCCACGCTTCCCGTAGCTGCAGAGAGGGAGTGGGTCAGAGCCAGCACAGGTCCCCCCATCCCCCCACCCCACTGTGATCCCTGCTCCCGTGCATGGTGCTAGCCATTTGCCCCCAGCTCTTCTGTCCCCTGTTACCCCTTGAGGCTGCTGAAGAAGTCCTCGGTGACCTTGTGGATCTGCAGCACCTCGTCGCGCACCAGGGGCACGTAGAGGGACCCACGCAGCGCCAGCTTCCACAGCTCCAGGCACTGGGGCACGGTGCTCAGCGCCCCGTGGCACAGCAGGAACCCCACTGCGGGGAGGGGAGGAGTCAGGGACCTGCTGCCCTGGGCTGGGGTGGGCAGGCCAGTCCCAGGGCCCAGCATGGTGCCCTGTGGCAGGGGCAGGGGGGTGCACTCACCTAGGATCCAGCGCTCCATCACCTCCAGCGACAGGTACTCACAGGCCATCTGGGGAGAAGGGGGGTCACCTTCGCTTTCATGCACCCCTCACCGCTGCCGACAACCCCCCTGGCACCTTGGACACTAGGGGCAGCCAGGACGGACTGGGTGGCCCACAGGCCTCTGCTCGCTGTCCTCTGTGCCCAGTGGGCAACTGTAGCTGGGCCCATGGCTGACCCCTTCAGCTGCTCCTAGCCCCAGGGCTCAGCCCATGCACCTCAGCTGTGCACGGGCATAGCCCCAGCTGGGCATCCCCCGGACCCCCTGTGTGGCAGGCACACTCACTGTGTCCGAGGTAGCCGGCGCCAGCAAGTTGCTCGTGGGGCCGATGAGACTCAGCAGCTGGTCACTGCGCCACTGCTCGGCCGCCTGGTTTCGCCGCGCGAAGAGGAAGTGCAGTGACAGCAGGGCGCTGGTCACCGCCTGCAGGGTGGCAGGAGCAAGACTGGGCATTGGGCACAGCCAGGACAAGGGGCTGCTCTCCCTGGTTCAGCTCAGCCCAGTGCTGCCCCCGTCCCCACCACCCCTCACCTTGCTGTGGGGCCCGAACTCCTCGCTGAGCTTGCGGAGTGGGTGGTCGTACTCCAGCACCATCTGGCCCAGTCGGGCGAAGCTGGGGTCACTGTGGGCACAGGGGGCACTGGTATGGCACGGCCCTGGGAAGCACTGCCCTGGAGCCCCCACCTGCCGACATCACCCCCTGCCCACCCCCGCCTTGGGCACCGACCTGGTCCCGTGCAACATCTCGTGGGCACAGTTGTAGAGGCCAATGAGCACCTTGCGGTCCTCGATGCGCGCCAGGAGCAAGACAAGTGCCGAGTAGGTCACCACCAGATCCAGGTAGTTCTTGGTGAAGTCGTAGTTCAAATGCTGGATAGATGGGGAGGGTGGGCTGGGGGTACAGCCAGGCTCGCCCCACCTCCTGCAGGCACTCTGCCCAGTGCCCACCCCATGGTAGCCCCCTAGCGCCACTCACAATGTCGAAGTAGCACTGGCTGGCATCAATGGTGTTCAGCAGCTCATAGACGTGGTCCTGGCAGGAGGTGGCACCACGTCAGCCCCAGGAGTTTCCCCTCACAACAGCCCTGCAGACCCCCCAGCAGCCTACCCAGTCACATGCTGCTGGATGGAGTCTGTGCCCTGCGTGCCCTAGCATGGGACAAATGGCAGAGCCGAGGGGGAAGGTGGTGCAAGGCTGGGGGTCCTCGCCCTGCCTGGCCCCCCACCCCGCCCCAGCTCACCCGAAACTCCATGACATCCACGAAGGACTGGTAGTAGGTGCTGAGCACACGGATGATCTCGCCCTTCTCCTTATGCACCTGGCCCAGGTGTTGCTGAGCAGAGGGGCAGCAGGGTCATGACATGGGCATGGGACCACAGGGCCTAGCCACGCAACTCCCCAGCACAGTGACGGGGCAGCACAGTGAGGTCATGGGGTGCCCCAGCACCATTGCAGGGTGATGCAGTATGGTCATGGGGCGCCCCGACATGTTCACAGAGTAATGCAACATGTCCCTGGGGCAACGTGGCAAGGCCATGGGCACAGTGTGGAGCAACAGGGCATGGGGTGCTGTGCCACGGTCATGGGGCAACACAGCATGATCATGGGATGGTCTCGGGGCAATATGGCATGGTCATGGGGCAGCATGGCACTGTCCTGGGGTAATATGTGGCTCTGGGGTGGCGTGGCCAGGTCATGGGCAACACAGTGTGGTCATAGGGCAACATGGCACCATCATGAGACAGCACAACATGGTCCTGGGGTGATGTGGCAAGATCATGGGCAACACAGCATGGTCATGGGGCAATATGGCACAGTTGTGGGGTGCCCTAGCATGGTCACGGGGCAACATAGCACAGCCATGGGGCACCCCAGGACCTCAACGCAGCCCTGATATTTGGCTGCCTTGGGGCTGGCACGGCGGGGGGCGGGCACAGGCCCCAGGGAGCTGGCCTGGGGGGCATGGGCCTGGGGGCAGGGGCTGGGCCCTCACCGTGTTGCTGCGTGCGTCCAGGCTGGGGAACTTCTTGTTGACATACTTGAGGGCCGGCTCCATGGCCTTCTCCAGCAGGAACGGGGGCTTGGTGCGGGTGCCCGCACACGTCTGCAACACAGAGCCATGTCAGCTGGGAGTGCTGGGCAGGGTGTCCCAGACCCTGTACTGCGTGCCGGGTGGGCGAGTCTCCCATAGCTCTGCTTGGGGTTGGGCAGGCTCCAGTTCCCCGGGGAGAGGCCGTGTGGCTGGGCCACATGGGGAAAAGGGAAGCTGTCAGCGTCAGGAAGGAAGGGGCCGGGGCCTCTGCAATGCAGCCCCTCCTGCCCCCACCCAACACTGCCCCAGCGACCACCCCGCACGGGACTGGGGGCAGCACCCGCCGTGCTGCAGGGGAGGGGAGAGGTGTGGTGAAGTGACAGGACTGGGACCCAGCAGCCGTCGGTGTCAGAGGGTTCTTCAGGAGGTGATAGGATCTGTTCCAGGTCCCCAGCCAGGATCGGGTCCTGGGTGACCACCCAGAGCCCCGGAAAAAGCCCAGGCGGCCTGCCCTCCCCACCCCGCCCCCATACCTTCTTGATGTTGTACATGCGGATGAGGACGCCCTGGCCACGGTCATTGAGGATCGTCAGCTTCTCGGCGAACTTGTGCTGGTACACAGAGGGCAGCGTCATGGTGCGACGGGCCCGTGGGCACCGAGCTGGGCTGGGCCGCGATGGCGTCGCCTCCTCCGAAGCTTCCCCGGCGCCTCAAGTGACTTCCCCTTCGGGGCCGCCACTTCCTGGGCTGGGCTGGGCGGACGTGGGCTCCGCGCTCCCCACCCGGCCCCCATCACGTGGCCCAGCTCCACCCCCGGCTGTAGCTTTTCAGCCCCCAGGGACACCCCCAGCTTGCCAGGCCCTGATGCCGAACACCTGCATCCTGTGTGTGCACACGCGTGTGCTCCTGGCCGCTCTTGGGCTGGCTGTGCTGCCTGTCCTGGCCTCCCCTGTGGCTCGCCGTGGTGTCTGCCTGGCTATGGGGTCTTGTGGGCATGGAGATGCCCACGTCTCAGGGGTCCATGGAGGTGTCTTGGTAGCCACGTTTCTCCCCTGAGAACCAGCCTGGCCCCCCAACAGCTGGTCCTACGTAGGACCAGGTCCCCCCAGGCCTGCCTGAGATTGGAGCCCCCGGACAGATGAGCAGGCTGGCCCAGGACATCCCTGCTCGCGTCCCCCCATGGCACTTGCCCTGCCTACGTGTGGTTGGGACCTCTGCAGGGCACACATGCTACATCCAAGGGTCCCTACCCAGCTTTGCCCCCCTCCACTGGCTGGACCAAGCCCAGGTGGGGGGGGCGGGCACAGTGCCAGGCCACAGTGATCTCACAAAGGTCACTGAGTCCTGCTTTGCCATTGGCTGGGGCAGTTGCACGCAGGGCAGGCTCCACTGCTTGCAGGCAGGCACCTCACCCCCACGCCAGGCACAGGAGGCAGCTGGAGCTTGCAGCCTGCCCCCAACCCTAGAGCAGATTTAGGAGGAGAGTTTTGTCTGAGAAATAAGGTAGGAAGTCCCTCCCAGGGGCGTGGCCAGCTGGGGTATAAGAGGCTGCAGGGCTGCAGTGGCTGCCAGAGCTTGCAAGGGGGGGTGGGTTTTGGCTGTAGTTCCTAGTGCCCTATTCCCCCCAGCCCCCTCCTTCTGAACCCCACCTGCAGGACCATGGACCCTGAGCGGCTCCTCCAGTGCCCCTACGACAAGACCCATCAGATCCGTGCTTGCCGGTTCCCCTACCACCTAGTCAAGTGCCGGGAGGTGAGACCAAGCTGCCCTGCAGCTGCCCCTGCAGCCCCAAGGAGGGTGGTTGAGGGGGTCCCAGCCTTGATGCCCCCTGACCCTCCTTACCTTGATGTCCCCAGAACAACAGGAAGGCGGCGGCCGAGCTCGCCACGTGCCCCTACAATGCGCGCCACAAGGTCCCGAAGCGTGAGCTCCAGCTCCACGTCGCCACCTGCTCCAACAACCCTGCTGGTAAAGTGGGGGGCAGAATGGGGCCCCTGGGCTGCCCCTGCACCCTCATCCTGCACAGGGTCTCCCCACCCATCCTGCTGGTATGGTGGGGGTCCCTGATGGCTCCTGCCTGAATGTGAAGTGTCACCCGGGGCTGGGCCGGACACTGCCCTGCCTGCCTGAGCTCCACTGGTCTCCTCCGCTGCAGAGACTGAGGCCCCGTTCCCACCCAAGACTGAGCTGAAGGAGATGCCAGGCGCCTGGCAGTGCCCCCCGTGCCAGGAGGACTGGGAAGCAGGTGAGTCATGGCATCGGCTTCAGTTGTGGGCAGCTCTGTGCTCTGACCCGGAGCAGCCAGTGTGTTGCCTGGACCCGACACCTCGGTATGAGCCCTGCCCAGCAGAGAGATCCCTGTGGCCTTGGGTAGACATGGTTGGCCTTGGCCAGAGAAGTGGTTGGCAGCCTGCAGCACAGAGAGAAGGGGGATTGCACGTGCCTCTGCCCAATCCTTCCAAGCTGAGAGCCCGAGAGTGCTGCCCAAGCCACAGGGCAACCTTTGCCGGCAGGCTACAGGCAGGGCCGGACCCTCTCCTGAGACTGGCCCTGGACCCCTGGCTATGCTGATCCACGTCTCCACCTGCAGATGCAGACGGGCCGGGGGCTGCTGCTCCTTTCCATCTTGGCTCCAGGGAAAACCACCCCGTGGGCACCCCACAGAGGTGAGAGCAGCCCTGGGTGCCCCTCGCCACGTCGGTGGAAGGTCTCTAGGCACTGGCAGGGGGAAGCCAGCCATGTCTCAGCCCCTCTTGGGCTGGCTGGGGGGAGCCTCCGTGTCTCCAGGGCACCCACAACCTCACCCCTTCCCGGGCGCCAGGCGTGGCAGAAGCTGTGGGCTCTGCCCTGGCTTTGCTCAGAACTGCATCTAGAGGTGCCTGGCGGCTGAGATATAGCCTCCAGGGCTAGAGCTGATCAGTCTGCTCATGGAGCATTTCTGTTCTCCCTTTCCAGGTTCTCCAAGTGCCCTTGAGCAGCGGGAGAGACTGGGGGAAATGTGAGCTTGAACTTGGCCCTGCCGAGCTGAGGCACCCCCTGGGTAGTGGTTTTAATGCAGACAAATAGAGTCAATAAATGTTTTGCTTTTATCACCTTGTGGCCTTGAACTTGCAACCCTGCAGCTTAGCACCTGCCCCCAGGGAGTGCCTAAATCCCAATGAATTGTAGCTGCAGCTACAGCCAGCCGGAAAGCACTGTTGCCTTGCTGTGAGGAGCAGAGAGGGATCGGCTGGAGCCCAGCCTGAGCTCGCCCAGGCTCTTTCCCATCCTGCTGCACTGCAAGGAAAGACCAGGAACGGGGTGAGCTGATTGACTAACGGAGAGGCCGGATCCTTGAGAACGGGCCAGACTTTTAGCTTAACGGAAGCCAACGCAGCTCTTTGGGCTCCCCCGGGAGCCTCACGTCCAGCAAACAGCCAGGCAGGGCATTGATCCAAGTGTTACCATGTGTGCTGGGGGAGGAGGTCTATTTTAATGACTGACCCAGGTTTCTATCGAGCCTAGAGGCATGGGGTCAGGCTGGGGATGGGGACCGGGCTGAGCCAATGCTCCTGCTGTGACTGAAACCAGGAGGGTCCTAGCTAGAGGGTCTTGCCCCTGCATTCAAGCTCAGACTGACACTGTATTAGGAGTAGGAAGGGACTTTTCCACTGGTCAGACTGGTACAGACTGGGTGGGGGGGGTCCTTCCTCTAAAGGAGGGGCACAGACTCTGCCTGGCACCCCCTTGAGTGTGTATTAATACCCTTTACAGGAGCAGGACACTGGTGGCCATGGTCCCCCTGCTATCCCCGGGGTAGATTGGGGTGTGAGGTGTTGTCAGGGTGGACGGTAGCTTTATTTAGAGATCAGATGATGGATTTTGTACAGGACAGCTGGGATGGGGCTGATCCTGCCTTGGGCAGGGGCTTGGATGAGGTGACCTCAGGAGGTCCCTTCCTGCCCCGTGGGTTTGACTTCTCCCCAAGGCAAACAGCTGTTTCCCAGCTGGCTTTTCTGCCGGTGGAACCGGTCCGGCCCGAGCATTCGTATTGCTCAGGAACGTGTGTGCACTCGGCTGCTGTGCAGACAATACCTGTTGCAGGAGGAGGCTTGGCTGTCCCCGAAATAGCAACAGCGCAAAGCAATGGAGCTTCGACGCACGAGAGCATTTTATTGAAAAGCTAAAGTGGAAAGCGTCTCTGCAGGATGAGTCCCCAGGTGCTATCGGCACGGGGAGGGGAGGAGAGAGGCAGTGCTAGCAAATGAGTCACTTGGAAAAGTCCCTTCTGAGCCGCGCACCAAGGCCTTCCAAGTGAAAGGTAAATGCAAGCCAGGTGGGTAGTGCAGAGTGAGCACCGGGAGTGGGGTGGGACCTTGGCTGTGGCAGTCACAGGCCCTGGCAGGGTGTTACTGGCTAGAAATCTCGTGTTGCAGCCAGCTCTCGGTGGGGCAGGGAAGAGCTGGTGGCTCCTGACCAAGCTGCTGTTCCTGGTGTTGGCTTATGAGAAATGGAGGGGAAAAAAGCTGGCTCCCAGGGGCGTCCCCTCCTGACATGGGTCCTTGCTTTTCTCCACAGTCCAGAGGCCCCAGTGTGCTGCAAGACAGCTGTGGAAAAGCCCAGCCTGGGTCATGGCACATGTGGTGGTGGCAGTAGCGCTGCTCTAACCACTGCACACACCGGCCCGGCACTACGTGGTACTGGGCGCTGCTCTTAGGAGCGCTTGTCGAACTGCGGTATTTGTAGACAAGCAGCCACCCCTATGGGGCAACAGGGGCTGGGTTCCTCCGTGTGGCCTGGCTCCCACCTCGCCTCTATGGCCCCTTCTAGCCCCCCCATCTCCTGCCCCTGGGCTGGGGGGAGAGGAGGCCCTGCCTGGCAGCTCTTTTGGGGCAGGGTGCCTCTGCCCCAGGCTCAGGCACCGCTGTGCGAATGCCGGTGCCGGTCCGAAGGGGCCCCAGTGCCGCCCGTGCCCGGTGCCTGGCTGCAAGTCGGCGCCGGTATGACTCGCTCACCCTTGCTGGGCTTGTTTGCGCGGAGCCGATTCGTCAGCGCCGCCTGCCGCAGTGCCGTGCGCCGCAGGGCCCGGTGAAGCTTGACATGGGCTGTTCATCGAGGCGGCTACATCCCCCCACCTCCCCATTCCCGCCCCTGCAGGAGCTCCAATCTGCCTGGGATCGGAGGCACTGGCGTTTCTGGGTCATTGAGTAACAGCGCAGCCCATTTCGCGGTGATTATCGCAGCTTAAAGTCAGAAAATGGATCCTAAGCACCGAGCCGAGGCGCAGGGTGACGTGGCTGAAGGATGCTCCCGGGAGAGGGGTGGGGGGGGGAAGGGACGGGGCGGGCCCCTGTCGCGCGCC